ACACTGTTCTTCAAATTCACCATTTCTTACAAGCTGATGAGGCAAACCTCTTCTTTGCTTAATATCACATAAGGTACACTGAAAGGCTGTGAAGAGGCAGATGTTCTATAGCTTCACTTCATATGCAAAAACCTGTTATTCTTTATTTGCATTCAATTAGAAGTCAGACCCCAATGACTATCTAGTGTAGGAAATGGGGAAAGATTTGCCATCAAGCATATGCTTTGCTTGTAGTAGATCTCAGTAACCTGCTATTGTGTCTTTCTGCAGTGATTTGGTCATTTCTACTGTATTATTTACACCTTCCAGCTCAGGGGTAAAGAGTGTTAATAGGTGACAACTGGAGTTATGTTTCTGATTTTAGAAATGTTGCCTTTTCTCATTCCTTTTAAAAAGCCATTCTGCAGTTGCAAATTTCCCTTACTGAGTAGCTGTGTTTAAGGATTTAAATGCTGTAGCATTTCTTCCATATTAATTTTCTTTTTGATACAGTTGTGCCTTGTTTGATCCTGTGAAGGCTCACCATTCTCCTGGCAATCCTGAGTATAATATGAGGAGCTCAGAAGTTATAAAACTGTTGTGTTGTCAAGTAGGGAAGGTTCAAATGATCACTGTAATATGAAGCAGAAGTGGCAGACTCTTCCAGAACAGCTGCTGTGATTGCTGTGACCCTGTAAGAGCATACATACCAGGGTATTACAGTACCTAGGGAGAGATGGAAGTTCTCTGGAGCCCCAGATATCAGAGACAGGGATAAGCAAAGCAGCTTTTCATCACTTCAGCACAGGGTTTTCCAGCCTTTGGGGGGAAAACAACAGGAATCCCATACCTTCCTACACTGGGATGTGAATGGAAACTTGCTTTGTTACATCCTCCATCCCCTTTCTTCTCTGTTGCCCACTCCCACCACATGTTCTGGAGAACACATGACATTTCTTCCTTTTTCCTCTTTTTTCTTTGCTTTGAGCTAACATTGTAAGTTAAACCATCCTCATCCAAATCCAAGCAGTGCATTGACAGAAAAGGAAAACCTTGAGAGTATTTTTAGGTGCTTTGCAAACTTAGACAAACAGATCAATATTACTTCATGCACACCTCAAGTTTGGAATGGTTCTTTGTCTTGCCATTGTGATAATAAAAAATTTCAAGATTTTAAGGGGAAAAAAAAAGGTGCAACTAGATGAAATGATGAAACTAATTCTGTCACATACAGTTGCTAATCCTCCTGTTTTCTCTGGCATTTTCTAGCATGGAATAAAATGTAGAGAAACAACCTTTTTTCTGTGCAACAAGATTTAGTGTCTCATCTTGGAATAAAAATATCTGTCAGGGTTTCCTGTGAAGGTAATATGTGTTTCAGATAATTGGGTCAGGTGTCTCTGGACAGTTTCGCCAGAATGAATCATTGTTTTGGTAGCAACAGCCCCTCTGCAGCTGAAAACATTTGTGGTGCTCCTTGCCCTATCTCTTAGTATGTCAAAAGCTATGCAAACATGAGGCTGAGGACACAATGAAGGAGTTTGCAGTGATTTTGGGTGCTGTGTGTTAGGGAAGCCTTTGACAGAAATCTGTCAAGAGGCTCTTCAAACCAGAATGCCAGTGCACCACTGCTGTTGGTTGATTTCTGATACCTGCTTTTGACACGTAATGAGGATTTTGGGGGTGAAAGGGAATGTGGTTTTTTATCTTGATTTTTAAAAGCATGGAGATTCTAGTAACCTGAAGAGGAAAAAAATATAAAACATCCTGATACAGGAAATGAAACCATGAATCAATGCTGGATAAAAGGGATGGGGGAAGAGCAATGACATTTAGTATTTATTAAGAGCCCAGCTCATTGCAGTGAATAGGGAATCACAGAATGGGTCAGGTTGGCAGGGAACATAGTAGCCCCACCTCCCTGCTCCAGCAGAGCCATCCCGGAGCACGTGGCCCAGGATTGTGTCCAGGATTGTTGTGGAATGTCCCCAGTGAGGGAGACTGCACACCCTCTGTGGGCAGCCTGTTCAGTGCTTGGTCACTGCACAGGGAAGTCCTTCCTCATGTTCAGGTGGAACTTCCTGGGCATCAGTTCCTGCCTGTGCCTCCTGTTCCATGGCTGAGCCCCACAAAGAGCCCGGTCCGTGCTCTGCCACCTCCCTTTGGGCACTGACAGACAGGGATGAGGTGTCTTCTCTAGGCTGAGCAGGCCCAATTCCCTCAGCCTTTCCTCCTAAGAGGGAAGTCCCTAAATAGAGACAGAATACAGTGAGATTATTGACAGGATCGGATGTGCAGCAGTACTGCCTTGAGCTGCTCCCACTCTACCAGCTCCTAGAACTAAAAAGCACACGAATGTCTGTACCCGCAGCAAAGCTGCGTGTGCTCAGGAGGCCCTTCCCGAGGGGCAGGCGCGGAGCTGCGGGCCCCAGACCCGTGAGAGGAGCTGCGGGCTCCCCAGATCCCTGAGAGGAGCTGCGGGCTCTCCCGAGCTGCGGCTGCCGCCAGATGGAGCCGCCGGGCAGCCGGACCTGGGCGCGGAAAAACCGAACCAGCGCCGGGATCCAGCCCGAGCCCACCGAGCGAGAGCTGGGCTGACACACGGGCACCGGTGAGAGCTCACCCAGGAGAGGAACAGGCTGACTCCACCAGATCCTGGCTGGGAACCGTGGGCACAATCGTATCTCAACCCAGCGGATGCAAGAACCAGATTCCCTTAATGAACTAGATTCCCTTAAAGAACCAATTATCCCAAAGAACTACATTCCCTCAAAGAACCAGATTCCCTCAAAGAACCAGATTCCCGTAAACCAGATTTCCTCAAAGAACCAGATTCCCATAAAGAACCGGATTCCTGTAAACCAGATTCCCGCTGACTGCAGCTGAGTCAGCGATTGCATAAGGCTCTAGTGCACTTGCAACAGCATGTACAGCATTAAGGGATATATACCCTACACAGTTATCTTACATTCCAATTTCAGTAATTTCTATCATACTAAAAAACAGACCTAGTAAATACCCACTGATGTAGCCCTAGTAACCCATGTGTATTTGTAACTGGAGTAGTGAAGTAATGATTCTGTTTGGCATAGTGATAAAAATTCCCTCCTTTGAGGGTTGGCAGACTTCATTGCTTTTAATTTTGCCCCTTGGAAAGCTGCTTGCAGCTGGAATCTGGGGTGTTACTTTTAAAAATGTACATGGCATTTAGGTTCTTTGCTCATTTTAGGAATTACATTTGTGTTTTACGTCTAAATCATAAAAATCAAGAGCATCAGTAGACCTGTAACATTTTGAGTTGTTACACAGAGAGTTATTTTATGTGATCATATAAAGCATGGGGAGGTTAAGAAGTCCCCAGTGCAGCTGCAGGAAAGGGACAAAAATTGTGAGTTATATTTCTCCTTCATGTTCTCATCCTGCATTTTCAATTTCTGAACAAGGAACTGAGGGGAGATGGTTTATCTTAAATCAGAAATTAAATCATAATGAAGGCTTAGTTTACAAAGCCAAAAACCTCTGTTATTAAACCATTCTTGAGGAAATGGCAGCATTTTTAACATTTGACAGGACTGTACTGTTATTAGGAGGCAGTGTGGTATTTCAGGAGCCATATGTGACACAGCTGTTTTAACGCTCGTTTGATTGCTCCTGGTGCTCTCTTAGACTAGCACACTGCATTTGACTGAGCTGGTGGCTGAAACAAACCTGGATGACAAGCATGCAAAAATATTCTGAGACTAAATTCTCAGAGTAGGGCCAGGCACCGTTCTGTGGCACACAGCCCCTTTCCTCCTCCTTCATCCCAGCTCAGATGGAATGGGATGTTCTGTTCCACAACCATGTTTTACAATCACAGCATTACAGAATGGTTTGGCTTAGAAGGAGACCTCGAGGAACATATTGTTCCAACCCCCTGCCATGGGCAGGGACACATTCCACAGTTCCAGGCTGCTCCATCCAACCTGGCCTTGGACACTTCCAGGATGAGCAACCACAATGCCTGTCCTTCCCTATGCCTCACCAGAATCCAAGAATGCAATGAGAGGGAGGTGTCTTTACAAACAAAGTGTGGGCCTGCAGGTAGATTAATCCAGATACTGATAGGTGAAAGAAGCAATGAAGGGAACCAAAAATTCCAGAGGAATTCCACTCATTGAAACAGACTGCTGCTTACCCAAGCCCATGATAAATTCCTGGACTTCTAGAAAAAGAGCAGGATACACATTAAAAGACTCTGTATTAGGCGATTTGAAAGTCTGTACCTCTCAAGTACTTCAGCTACCAGGGAAAGAGAGGGGGAAATGCAGCTGGGAAATCAGGATAAAAAGGAGGCTGCATCCTCTAGCAATTTGAGAGACCCCATGGGAAATGCCCCGTGGCCTCTCCCTTATTCAAATAACGCTACAGAGCTTTACTTACTCCTCAGTCTCCTTTTTGGACATAAGCCTTTGGCACCGTGAATTGATTTCCTGACACTAATCTCTAATCTAAACCTGCTCTCTGTCAGTGTGAACCCATTTCCCCTTGTCCTGTCACTACACGCTCAACTGAACAGCCTTGCTGCATCTCTCCTCCAGGTTCTCTTCAGGCACTGGAAGGCCGCAGTGAGGTCACCCCAAAGCTCCTCTTCTCCGGGCTGAACAATCCCAGCTCTCCCAGCCTTTCCTCGCAGGCGGGGCCCTCCATCGCTCCGACCACGCTGCCGCCTGCTCCGGGCCCCGCACAGAGCCCGTCTCCAGCCGAGCCGTTCCGGGCCGCGCTCCCAGCCCCGGGGGCGGCACTGGGCGGCGGAGCAGACGCGGAGGGCCCGCGGCCGCGGCGGAGAGCGCGGGCCCCGCCGCCCAGGCCCGGCGCTCCGCGGCCGGCAGAGCTGAGGGCGGGCCGGGCCGGGCGCTCCGCGGGGCTCCTCCTCCGGCGCCACAGCTGTTTCCTGCCCGGCCGGCGGAGAGCCGGGCGCTGCCGCCGCAGGTAGGCGGGGGAGAGAGGGGAGGAGGGAAGGAAGGAGTGGTGCGGCGGAGCGCGGCGCTGGCTCTGTCCGTGAGGGCTCCGCGCCCCGGGCTCTGCCATGGGCCCGCGCGGTTCGCGGGTGCGGCCGCCGGCGCCGCGCTGCCCCGGGGAGGGAGCGCCGGGGGAGCCGCCCCAGCGCCACGGCCGGGCCCGGACCTGGACCTGGGGCTGTGGTTCGGTGCGGCTAATGCCCCTAAAGACCTTCAGGCCCCACTGAAGTCCCCTTCCGCTGCACAGAATCCCCGAGTCATTATGGTGGGAAGGGAGCTCTGAGATTACCCAGCCCTCCTGCCAAAGCAGGGCCACCCCGAGCAGCTGACAGGAACGCGTCTAGGTGGGTTTTCAATGAGCATGCCATTCCTCTTTTCTCCAAGTCACATTGCGGCTGGAGCAATGCTGCAGCAATAGTAAACCTGAAATTAACAGGAAAAAAAATAAAGAAATAGCTGTAGTGTAATTAAATTTCGACTATTTCAAAGGATTTATAATTGGATTTTATGCTCAGCCTATTTTAGTCATAACATTTTTAATAAATTTTAAAGCATTCAGAACATGTTGATTAATGAGATGAAGTTTTATGTTTTTGCAGTGAGTCAGGGAAAACATCTTTAATTTTCAGGCTTATTTCAGGTTTTGAAGATACCACTGCTGTGTGTTGTGCTAATTACCTCTACAGGGGAACAGCTCTGCTATTTGTGTTTCTGACTGTCAGCTCTTTGCTGTTTCGTAACTGAAAGTCTCATTATTGGCTTCAGTATCAGCTAGCTGATGAAAGCGACCTGAAACTTTTTTCAATACAGCCTTCAAAATGGAGAAACTGGCTAGGAAATGGGGGGGGAAAGAGTCACTCTTACTTTATAATTAGAAGGACAATGAAAGAATGAGGTCTGTGGAAATTCAAGGGCTGAGGGAGTTATGGTCAGTCTTTCACAGATGCTTTGTAATTTAGCAGACCAGGTAAGCTGGGTATCCTAAGTGCATAGACAGGTTAGGTGCCAAATTTCCTTCTATCTCAGTGGAATGAGATCATTCCCACTGAATATTTAGCTGCATTTTTAGGCATCTAAGAAGCTTGTAAAATGAGCTTCTAGGTCCCTACAAGTAGTTTGCTGATCTAATGAGTAAATTTGTTACCTCTTGGGTTAAATGAACCTATTAAGAGCTTTGATTATATTACATGCTTTGATAAATACACCGAAGAAAGCAATGCTCTTAAGGCTGAGTTCTTACAAAACTATATTGAAATGCTCTTTTATGCATTTCAATTCAATTCAGGTTGTCTAGCAAATAGAAGAGTTTCTTACCATCTCCTCATGTAATTGAAACTAAAAGAAATCTGAGTAAATATATAGTCAGTAACATATTATTACAGTAAATATTTGTAGATATAGTGAATCCTCGTGGTTAGGAAAGAGTAACAAATGCTGAGGTGAAAATGGCAGTAAGCATATTTTAACTGTTATACCACCAAGCAGCAGTAAACACTTTCTTAGCAAAATAAATGAAAATTGCAAATGCAAAGCAGGTTCAAAACTGGTATATTTACTGGCTGCTGATGCCAGTCATGATTTATATCAGACAGGCCACCTGCATTCCAGGGTCCAAATAATAGACCAGGCTGTAAAGGAAGGATTTTCAGAAAGTGATGGTTTAGGAGCCAGATGCTGCTCGTGCTTGCAGGATGTGTAGGGACCAGTGATGAGATAGTGCTCCTTTGCAGATGGGCTCAGGATCTTGAGTCCCTGTCTGTCCACCAGCTGAAATCCATCAATTATTGAAATTATTGATGGACTTCTGGTGTTATTGAAACATTTGATGGACTTCTGCCCTGTCTAATCAATCAGTTGATGTCTTCTTGCACACTGTTATTTGTGAAGTTGTATTTGTTCCTTCCTTGGATCTTGGGCCCTATGGAAAGAGAGAATATGTAACTCTGGGAGAGAGTGTGTGGCTCTCAAGTGTTCCTTTATTGCTACAGACAGCCTGCTGCCTTCAGAAATCAGCATGCAAGTGGTTAAACTTGTAACACAGAAGGGAGAAGAACTGATATGTGAAAATAATTGACTGACTTGTGGTAAAAGTTCGGACAATGAGAAGATACCTGACTCATTAGTCAATTATAATCTGCTAGCTGTGGCAGAGTGAAGCTCTGTCTTTTTCCCAGAGCTGTGTGTGATGCTGAACACACATGGGAATTGTTCAGACCAACAGCAATGGACTGAAGAATTTCATTCTGTCGAATCTCTGAATTTGTTATAAACCCATTTTTTTTTCTGGTCTAACCTGAGATCTCATTGTCATTTCTCGTAAACTTCAGCAATTCCTGAAAGGGGTGGTTTTCCAAGAATCAAAAGTGAAAGCATTTACTATTTTCTGTGTTTTTTTTCCTTGAACAATAGGGTTTTCTTCCCCCCAGGTTCATTTTGCAGTTAGGTTTAGTCTCATTTGCAGCGGTCAAAAGGTAACTTAAAAAATCTTCTGCAGGATTCGGAGGTGCCGGGATGCCGATTCATGTTTAATGAGATGAGTTTTAATGTTTTTGCAGTGAATCAGGGAAAACATCTTTAATTTTCAGGCTTAGCTCAGATTTTGAAGATATCACCACCATGTGTTGTGCTCAGTACCTCTACAGCAGAAGACCAGGCTGTAAAGGAAGGATTTTCAGAAAGTGATGGTTTAGGAGCCAGATGCTGCTCGTGCTTGCAGGATGTGTAGGGACCAGTGATGAGATAGTGCTCCTTTGCAGATGGGCTCAGGATCTTGAGTCCCTGTCTGTCCACCAGCTGTTATTGAAATTATTGATGGACTTCTGGCCTGTTCAGTCAATCAGGTGATGTTGTCCTGCACTCTGTTGTTTGTGAAATTGTGTTCTTTAGTCTGTCTCAGTGTCTGAGTGCCTTGTATTTGGATTTTCTCCAGTGCTGTTCTTGTATTTCTTATAAAAGGTTGAAGTTCATAGAGAGCTGTCGCTGTACAGCTGAGAGAGAAGAACTTGTCACCTCCCATTCTTGTTCATCACCATATGGCTACCCCCATACGGACAGGTACAGGTAAGAAGATTTATCTGTGTATCTTCCCAGTGGGTTTGGAATGTGCTGTGTGGGTGGGATTTTGTGCTGTGTGGGTGCACGTGGCAGAGATGTTCCCTCAGTTCCCTCCATGAGAAGCTGTAAGGAGCAGTGAGGACAGCTGGATGGTGGGGCAGGCTGGGTGCTGCTGGGAATGTCTCCTGAGTGGGCATTTGGGAAGAGGCTCATTGTTCTCTGAGTGGGATAGTGAGTGCAGGGGTAGAAGGGCTTTTGCTTGTCTGAAGTCATCATTTGGTGAAGGGGGAAGGAGGCTGATGAGGTGGGAATGTTAACCTGGGAGCAGCTGAAACGAGGCTCACACCATTGAGTTACCTGGGAGCCCTCTTCTGCTGTTGGTGTTAGCAGGACTTCCAGTGAGTTGGGTATGATGTTGTTGTTTTAATTCTTTCTGTGGCATTTTTCTTCTTAAGGAAACTGCTGGCTGTAGGCTCAAAGCTGAGATGCTGGAACATGATCTCTTTGGAGAGGGAGAGCAGGAGCATTGCTCACTTTGTTCCCCTGCCCTTGGGGAGAAAGGGAGCGAGGGAGCATCAAGTGAAGTACAGAATCTAAGACTTGGGATGAGTATTTGGGGGGACCACAAAGACACAAGGAGAGCAGCCATCAAACTGCACTAGAACAAAAACATTGCACAACAGTGCTTGGTTTCTCAGCAACTTCATGTTCTGGAACTCTTGGGTTCCTAATTCTATGTGCCAAATGTAGGAATCTGGGATTAGTTTCCATGTTAGGGAATTGTTTATATTTCAGTGGCTTCCCCTAATGCTCTGTATGTTGAAAAAAACCCAACCCTTGTATGTGCTGTGCCTCAGGTACTGTGTTCATTAATGTTTTCTGTAGGATTTAAATTATAGTGAATATGACAAGAGATCATAGCAATAGTTGTCAGAGTTTAGTAGAAATGAGTGCTTCTTCTGAAGTCTTTGAGAGTTTTGAGTGTGATGCTCACATGCAGAACTAAGCAGGACCCACACTGCCACGCCAAGAAGCTTGTTCAGTCAAGCCAAAAATTCCCAAATAAATGTTATTTTTGGGAGTGGAAATTTCCTTTGGGAGAGTTGAGGGGGGAATGAAATGATCATTAATTTAGTATGGAAAAAATACTTTCAGTTTTGGTAGTGTCAGTAAGTTTCTGCTTTATCTTGAGCCTGATTAATGAGTTACAAATTTGCTTGCCAGTAACTCATACACCACCAGCCAGCAGTGTTACTATCACTTTCCTTATAGCCTGGCTATTTTTTAGCTTAAAGTCAACTGCACTTTGAAGTGAGTTATTAAGGAGTCTTTTATTTATCCAGAGAAGCCAAGGGTAGCTGGTCACCTTTGCACTGTGTGGTAGGTACTGTTTGTGGTGATTGGGAGTGGGGCTGTGGCTGAGCCTCATCCCTGATGAGCTCCAGCTGCACAGAGCAGGTGACCAGCACTGAAGAGGTTGTGCTGAGGGAAAAGAAGTGGTAGACACTTGAAGCCTTCTTGAGTTGTATGGTGTTGTTTTGTGTATCATGGCTGTCTCCACAGGAATGTATGCTGACAGCGACACTGCTGCCAATGTAGTTGTACAGGAATGTCCAGACACAGACAGAGCCCAGTATGACTGTGAGACCTACGGGTACCAGCGGCCTACTCTGGACCGGAACTATACTCGAATCAGGAGTACAGGTGAGCCACTGGGGACATAATGGGGAATAACTTATCAAGTGAAGAACAGATTGATTTATCTACATGGAAAGCTATGTTGAAAATAAAAGGCATTGAGAGTACTGAATTTGCCCTTTGTAGTATTTTACACTGGGCACAGTCACCAGATTTTGAAAGTGATGCAAGTACTGCTTTTAGTGTTAGAGCATGGAAAGGAGTTGGGGAAAGACTGTGAGATGTGGTACCAAATGGGGACAAAGTGGCTGCAGATTTGGCTATCACCTGGAGATTGCTCTATGAGAGTTGAAAAGAATGGAAAAGAGAGCAGGACAAGAGATAGCAGGAGGTGAAAGGACAATCAGAACCTGAGATCCTGAAGAACTGAGCTGGCAGGCTAAGAGCCTAAAGGCACACTATGCAAATCAAGAGCCTAAGAGCCGAAAAATCCAGAGGAGTTATAGGTAAGCAGACCTGAGAGCCTAAAAGTCTGGACAACTTATGAGACAGTATCCCCAAGAAGAAGGGTGCTGGTTATGAAGAATGGATGCTACAGGCTCTGGTTATTTGGTATAAAAGAAATAGAGTGAGGCTATGCAGCCTGCTTCTTTGGAAGGAGATGGCTTGGGAGCTAAGATATAAACTGTCTTTCTATATTAAAATATGGGAGTCCAGGGAAACAGTAGACACATCAACTACGGAAGGATGTAGATCAAAGCAAGGGATGGATGAGAGTTTTCCTGATATGCTGTGGAGATTAAATAAGTTCATCTGAGAATCAATAATATAATCTTCTGCAGATAAAGATTTAGATGAGATGCTATAATTTACCTAGTATTAAGGCTGTGTTCAGAGTGATATGAATCTGTTCCATAAATGTTTGCTGTGTATTTGAAAAAGGATTCTTAACTTGGGATTACAGAGCTGTTAATGAAGCTGTATAGCTGTTATTGTTGTTTAAGTTGTATGGCTGTTGATGAATTGTGTAGCTGTTGATTTTAAAAATGTCCTAGTTTATTACCTTTAGCTTATTCTTGTGTGTTACCTTATAAAGATAGACAGTTATTGATATTGTCAACATTCTAGGAACGCAAGTGTAAAGATTCTAATGATACATAAATTTGGGGTGAGAATCAAGGTCAGTACACAGTCACATTCCAGAGTTCGTGGAACCTACACAAGGGATACTTTTATACCATGTTTTCTGTTTTTCCTGTAAGGGCCCTGTAAAGAAATAGCAAACATAGGATTCATTTAAAAGGAAAAAAAGCGGGGGGGAACTGTAGGTACAGAGTTTGTGGTGATTGGGAGTGGGGCTGTGGCTGAGCCTCATCCCTGATGAGCTCCAGCTGCACAGAGCAGGAGACCAGCACTGAAGGCAATGAGACCTGGAGTGCCCAGGTGTAGTGACCAGTCACAGAGGGGACAGAGGGCACACAGGTGTACAGCAGGTAAGGTGAAGGGTGTTATTTTGTGTATCACAGCAGACTGGACTGCCACAGATGATGATCGTTACGAGGGTTATGATTTGGGTGAGCGTGAAGACCCGCCTAGCCTTGAGAGCATCATAGAGAGGATGAACAGTACAAGCGAGAGCAATTTGGACACCCTGAGTACAGGTGAGCCACTGGGAACATAATGGGGAATAACTTATCAAGGGAAGAACAGATTGGTTTATCTACATGGAAAGCTATGTTGAAAATAAAAGGCATTGAGAGTACTGACTACATCCTTCGTAGTGTTGTACTCTGGGCACAGTCACCAGATTTTGAGAGTGATGCAAGTACTGCTTTTAGTGTTAGAGCATGGAAAGGAGTTGGGGAAACACTATGAGGCGTGGTGCCAAAAGGGGACAAGGTGGCTGCAGATTTGGCTACCACCTGGAGATTGCTCTGGGAGACTTGAATAGAATGGAAAAGAGAGCAGGATAATAGAGAACAGGAGGTGGAAGGACAATCAGAACCTGAGATCCTGAAGAACTGAGTAGGCAGGCGAAGAGCCTAAAGGCAAACCAAGAGCCTAGAAAGGCATAGGAGTTATAGCCAAGCAGACCTGAGAGCCTGAAAGGAATGTAGGCAGACCTGAGAGCCTAGAAGTCTGTACAACTTATGAGACAGTACCCCCAAGAAGATTGGTGCCAGATATGAGGAGCGGATGTTACACACTTTGCTTATTTGCTTCTAAAGAATTAGAGTGAAGCTGGGCACTTTACTTATTTGGAAGGAGATGGCTTGGGAGCTAACATCCACTCTGACATTTTTAATTAAAATATGGGAGTCCAGGGAAACAGCAGACACCTGAGCTACAAAAGTGTGTAGATCAAAGCAAGGGATGGATGAGAGTTTTCCTGATATGCTATGGAGATTAGAGAAGTTAATTTGAGAATCAATAATATAATCTTCTGCAGATAAAGATTTAGATGAGATGCTATAATTTACCTAGTATTAAGGTTGTGTTCAGAGTGATGTGAATCTGTTCCATAAATGCTGGCTGTGTATTTGAAAAAGGGTTATAACTTGGAATTACAGAGCTGTTAATGAAGCTGTATCATTGTTAATGTTGTTAAAGTTGTATGGCTCTTGATGGAATTGTATAGCTGTTGATTTTGTTAAGGTCCTAGTGTATGACCTTTAGCTTATTCTTGTGTATTACCTTATAAAGTTAGACAGCTCTTGATATTGCCAATATTCTTGAAATGTAAGTATAAAGACTTTAATGATATGTAAGTTTGAGAGTGAATCAAGGTCAGTACACAGACACATTCCAGAGTTCGTAGAATCTACACAAGGTTTTATACCACTTTTATACCATGTTTTCTGTTTTTCCTGTAAGGGCCCTGTAAAGAAATAGCAGACAAAGCATTTATTTAAAAGGAAAAAAAGCGGGGGGGAACTGTAGGTACAGAGTTTGTGGTGATTGGGAGTGGGGCTGTGGCTGAGCCTCATCCCTGATGAGCTCCAGCTGCACAGAGCAGGAGACCAGCACTGAAGGCAATGAGACCTGGAGTGCCCAGGTGTAGTGACCAGTCACAGAGGGGACAGAGGGCACACAGGGGTAAGGCAGGTCAGGTGAAGGGGATCAGAGGCTGTGCTGAAGAAGAAGGGACAGACATTTGAAACCTCGAGTTGTATGGTGTTATTTTGTCTATCCCAGCGGAATCGACTGTGAGATCTCGTGCCTCTGATATTCAGGATTCAGCTGCAACCAGAGCCCAGCGTAGCCTGAGCAGCAGGGGGACGCTGCCTGCTCGGGACCTGACCTCTCCTGGCACCCGGAGTGCAGGTGAGCCACTGGGGGCACAATGGGGATTAAGGTATCAAGTGAAGAACAGATTGGTTTATCTCCATGGAATGCTTTGTTGAAAAGAAAAGGCATTGTACATCCTTTGTGGTGTTGTACTCTGGGCACAGCCACCAGATTTTGAGAGTGATGCAAGTACTGCTTTTAGGGTTAGAGCATGAAAAGGAGTTGGGGAAAGACTGTGAGATGTGGTACCAAAAGGGGACAAGGTGGCTGCAGATTTGACTACCACCTGGAAATTGCTCTATGAGAGTTGAAAAGAATGGAAAAGAGAGCAGGACAAGAGATAGCAGGAGGTGAAAGGACAATCAGAGCCTCAGGAACTGAGCTGGCAGGCAAAGAGCCTAAAAGAAAACCCGGCAAACCAAGAGCCTAAGAGCCTAGAAATGCAGAGTTATAGCCAAACAGATCTGAGAGCCTAAAAGTCTGTACAACTTGTGAGACCGTTCCCTCAAGAAGAAGGGTACTGTATATGAGGAATAGATGTTACACACTTTGCTTAATTGGTGTGAAAGAAATAGAATGAGGCTAGGCACTTTGCTTATTTCAAAGGCAATGGCTTGGGAGCAAACATCCACTCTGCCTTTTTAAATTAAAATACGGGAGTCCAGGGAAACAGTAGACACCTGAATACAGAAGGAGATAGATCTAAGCAAGGGATTGATGAGAATATTCCTGATTAATATGCCATGGAGACTAGAGAAGTTAATTTGAGAGTAAATAATATAATCTTCTGCTGATAAAGGTTTATATGATGTTCTCTAATTCACCTAGTGTAAAGTCTGTGTTCAATGTGATGTGAGTGTGTTCCGTAAGGTTGCTGTGCATGCAAAAATTATTATAATTAGGAGTTACAGAGCTGTTAATGAAGATGTATAGTTATTAATGTCAAAGTTGTCTGGCTCTTGATAGAATTGTATAGCTGTTGATTTTGTGAATGTCCTAGTGTATGAACTTTTAAATTTTTTGTGTGTTATCTTATAAAGTTTTACAGCTATTGGTATTGTCAATATTCAAGAAATGTAAGTATAGAGATTTTAATGCTATGTAATCTTGGGGTGTGAATCCAGGTCAGTAAAGGGATGCTTTCTGGAGTTAGTGGAACCTCCACCTTGTATAATTTTATGCCATGTTTGCTACTTTTTCTATAAGGTCTCTGTAGAGGAATAGCAGACATAGCATTTATTTAAAAGAAAAAAAATAAGGGGGTGGGAATTGTGGATACAGACTTTGTGGTGATTGGGAGTGGGGCTGTGGCTGAGCCTCATCCCTGATGAGCTCCAGCTGCACAGAGCAGGTGACCAGCACTGAAGGCAATGAGACCTGGAGTGCCCAGGTGTAGTGACCAGTCACAGAGGGGACAGAGGGCACACAGGGGTAAGGCAGGTAAGGTGAAGGGGATCAGAGCCTGTGCTGAGGAAGAACAAGAAAGGAGACCTGCTTGAATCCTTCTGATATTGTATGGTGTTATTTTGTGTATCATGGCTGTCTGGACTGTGCCACTGTCAGTGGAAACGGTACAGTGGCACTCCTCACCTCTCAGGATTGGCCCTGTGGAGGATGGTAGTGCAGGTGACTTTGGGCAGCCAGCTTCAACCCAGTGCTGGAACCTGGTGCTGCAGCTGCAGGCATGTCAGCTTAGAAAACATCATTGCACTTCTGCTCCAGTGAAATTGCTTTAGGAAATGGTAGCAATCCCTCAGTTTGAGGGGGCAAAGCTGATTATCTTACCACCAGTGAGAGCCCTGGGCTGTCAGCTCTCCAACTTGTGTCATCCCACCCATGCTGCAGAGCCTTCATCCTGGAGGGCTTTGTGTGAGACATTGACTGAATTTAGCCCAGAGAGGAGATGCAAATGGTTTTCAGCACTTTGGGTTAGTCTGAGACATGGCACAGAGGTGAAGCACAAGCACAACTCAGTGTCTGAGAGGAGGGAGTGAATCCTGCAGCACTTCAGCCTGCTCGGGGCTGCTGTGAATGGCACTCTGAGTGGAAAGCTGCTCACCTTTGGTTAGAAAGGTGAAAACAAACACTTAATTGTCCTTTCCAGGCCTGGCAGTGGGAGCTGTTCCAGTTGTATATTTTGGTGGTTTTTCCCCACTGCTCTAGGACAGGCAGAGCAGCCATTTGTTCATGCCTTGGAGCTTGAGCCCTCTGGAATGAGATTATCTGTAACTCTGGGAGCAAGAGTGTGTGGCTCTGCTGTCTCTGACCAGCACCCTCTGCCACCCTGAGCCACTGCTGGGTCATCAGCCTGCCAAGAGCCCAAAAGCAACTGTGGTCAAATGGTGAACTTGGATGTTCCCTTGAGACTGGCACAAAGAGGAGTGACAGAAATCAACTATTTGATGAACATCCTGCTGTGCCTCTTTGCAGCTATGGAGCATAGGTGGTCCCTTCCCAAAAGCCAGAGCTTTCTTCAGTGTCAGCAGTGCTTGGATCCTGCAGTGACATGGGTGATTTGCAGTCAGCCATTTTGGTGCAAAAGAAAGCTTTCTCTGTTGCAGTAGTTAATTTTTAATATGAAAAATCGTGAGATACCACTCCAGTTTCACATTGCATTGGGGAGATGTATTCAGGAAAGAGTCTGAGGAAAGATTTCTGATCTATTCAGGAAAGGCCAGTGGCCTGGGCTGAGATGGTATTGCACACACTGGGACAAGAGGTTTTCTAGGGTCTGAAAAAGCCCAAATGCTGATCTGTTCTGTAGTGCTGACATACATGTACAATGAGAAATCTGCAACTTGTGTATATGTGATTTTATTTTTAATCCCACTGAATGCTTTTCTGTTTATTTGAATTACCCCTGGAAGCCCTTTCCTCAGCTGCTGTGCAGAGTGGGATTTCTGTAGTGAGCAGCAGCAGCAGGTGAATGAGGGGGAGAAGATTTGCTCTCAGAGTTTTGCTCTCAGAGTGCTTGTTGTCAGGGACAGGTCTGTGTCCCTTGCTGAGGACATGTGGCAGCATTTCACAAGCTGGGCTCCTCCATGAGACTCTCCTGGCATCTGTGCTCTGAGTCCTGACTGCCTGATCCACCCAGCCCTACCTTTCTGCTGGCCTGGCTGCAGAGCACCTGAGCACTCAATGTCCCAGCACCAGCTCTGTCCTGCGACACTTCTCAGGCACTCCTTGGTTGCTACAGACAGCCTGCTGCCTTCAGCTTGGTTTCTCAGCAACTTCATGTTCTGGAACTCTTGGGTTTGGTTTTTCCTTGAGGAGCTGAAGAGTCTCAGTACCATGTGAAGTCAGTAGGAGCTGTGGGGACTTAGCACCTTTGGAAGCTGCACACAATTTTATGGATGTTGACATTTCTATTCCTTCATTAGACCAAAGCCAGTGTTTGACAATTTTGGTGTTTCCTAATGCTTGGGTGAATTCAGTAGGAAACAATTGGTTGCTAGAATCAAATTGCACATTAAGTTACACCATCAGAGTTTGTAAATGTTTTTAGCTGTCGTGTGATTGTACCTCTAACACACAAAGTTTACAGCTCCTTCTGTGCTGTCCTGGGGAAGGATCCTTGCTCCTTTGTAGCACCAGTGCCATTCTGCAACATGCCTGTCTTCCTCTTCTGCTTGTTTGTGATTCTGATCAGTAGGTTGATGTCAGATGCAGCTTTGTGCTCCACGTTCTTGCAGTTGGCTTCTCACAGACCCCACCACTGTGTCAGGTGTTAGAGGTTTGCAGCTGCAGAGCTTTATAAACCTTTTCTTTGATTTCCTGAGCGAGCTGGCTGGCTGATGACAGTTATTTAAATTGGTTTTTTGGTAGGGGCTGCTTGTCCCAATAGCAGGTTAAGTGCTTCTATGATGTCTCTGTTGCAACTTGTTAGTGTATTGTCAAAATATCCTTTAATGGCCTGAGGTATGTAGTTGAATAAATACATGGTCACTGAAAATTGCCTGATTGATCATCTTGATTCTTAATTGAATTTTTTCAAAGAATTCCTAATTCTATATGCCACATGTAGAAATCTGGTATTACTTTCCATGTTAGGACATGGTTTATGTTTCAGTGGCTTCCGCTAGTGTTCTGTATGTACAGTTAAAAAAAAAGGGCCAACCATGTATGTGCTGTGCCTCAGGTACTGTGTTCACTAGTGTTCTCTGCTGAACTTACAGTGAATATGACAAGAGATCAGAGCAATACCTGTAACAGTTTAGAGGAAATGAGTGCTCCTTGTCAAGTCTTTGAGAGTTTTGAGTGTGATGCTCACATCCAGAATTAAGCAGGACCCACAGTTCTATGCCAAGAACCTTTTTGAGTCAAGCCAAAAGAGCCAAAATAAATGTTAATTTTCCAAGTGGAAATTTCACCTGGGGGAGTTTTGAGGGGAGTGAAATGGTCAGTAATTTAGTATGGAACACCTTCTTTCAGTGTCTCGAGTCCCATTAAATTTCCGCTTTATACTGAGGGTGTTTAATGAGTTCCAGATTTGCTTGCCGCAGATTTGTACACGACTGGACAGCAGTGTGATTACCACTTGCCTTATGGTCTGGCTATTTTTTATCTTTAGGTCAATTGCTCTTTGAAGGTAGTTATTAAGGAGTGTTTTGTTTATCCAAAGAAACCAAGGGTAGCTGTGAACACACATGGGAATTGCTCAGGCCAACAGCAATGGACTGAAGAAATTGATTCTGTAGAATCTCTGAATTTTTTTAAAAACCCATTTTTTTTTCTGGTCTAATGTGAGATCGGATTGGCCTTTTTCAGTAACACTCAGCACTTACTGCATGGGGTGGTTTTCTGAGATTCAAAAGAGAAAGCTGTTAGTATTTCCTGTGTTTGTCCTTTAATACAATCGTTTTGTTCCCCTCAGATTGATTTTACAGCTAGGTTTAGTGTTGTTTGCAGTGATCAAAAGACAACTTAAACAACTTTTGCAGGATTTGGAGACGTCGGGATGCCGGTGCGTACTGATGATGTGATGGCGCTGCTCAGCCACGTTGCCACGGTGAAGGGCATGAAAGCTGCTGTCTCCAATTCTGGCCGGGGAGCCATGCTGACAGGTGCATCAGCATTTGTGGGGGGGATGCTGGGAGGCCCTCCTGGAATCGCTGTAGGTAAGTGTGCTTTGCTTTAGGAACAGGAGGATGGTTAAATCTTAGACATCAATGCTTCTAGTGGCTTTTGCATTAAGTGCCCCTAAATCAGTAATTGATGTTCTCATGAAAGTCCCTTGAAGATGAATTCAGCCATCGTCAGCTTTCAAGTATTTCTGTGCTGTCTTGGGAAAAATTGCTCACTGAGTAAAAGCTGCAAATGAAGAGTTTTTGTCTAATGTAAAACTGCATCCCTGTGAGTGCCTAGATGACTTTTTAGGAGCAGTCTCTGGGGGTGGCACTTTTGGTGGCAGGGTCAGTTCTGCCACCTCTCCATTGAGAGGGTTCTCTCTCTCTCTCTCTCCCCCCTTCCTTCATTCCATCTGTCCATCCATCCCAGGCCGTGTGTGCTGCGGGCAGTGCTGCCCTGTGGATTGCTGTGCTGCACTCACACTGCTGCTGGAGGGGAGCCCTGCAGGGCTGCTGGGCTGCTTTCTCAGCAGCCACAGGCACATCAGCTGTACATCCATCCCTCTGCGTCATCCTGATAACCTGGGGCCTTCCCTTAGCCCAGCATGTCTTGTCCTCCTGGGGAGGGTGGGCTGTGCCCCTGGTGGATGAAAGCCTGCATGTGTCTGATGGGATTGGTCTCTGAGCACCTGCAGGGGTGGCTTCAGGTGTGTAGGACACTGCAGTGGGTGACTCTTCAAGAAGCAGAAAGCTTTGACCACTCTGGGAGTATCTAGTAAGAGATGATGACACTGCTAAGGCAGCTGTTGCTCTGCTCTTTTCCTTGGGCAAGGTTTTATGTAGCAGTAGAGCTTCCTCTGAGAGAGTGTCCCAGGGAGTGTTTTGGTTCTGGTTTCTAGCTTGAAGCTGTTAGTGTTGTTTGCAGGAAGGGTTTCTTTATGGTTGCTGTGGATGTAAAGAGCTTTTAAAATCCTTTTTGATGCTTTGAATACTGTGTATAAATCTAGTTAAAGCAGACACATACACAACTCAATCTTGACTTCTGATCACTGTGGGAACATTGTTGGTGAAGGCTGTGGATGGAATTCCAGGCTTTAACATTAACTGTTGAAGGCTAATGATTCTTTTTGTTTCCTAGGAGGAGCACTGGGTGTATTGATTGGATGGATGACTTCTGGACAGTTCAAGTCAGTCCCTCAGGTTTTAATGGAATTGCCTGCTGCTGAGAAGCAGAAACTCTGTGCTGAAGCCATGGCTGTTGTCAAGAACTTAGACTGGACTGATGCTGCTCAGCTGATTGCTCTTGTAATGTCAAATTCTGCTCTCACAGAAAAGGTACTAGGAGTGCTGACCACTTTCCTTACCAATGAGTTCAAAGCACAACTAAAATATGGAGAATAATCCCTTCCAGAGCAGGATTTTTATACTGGAATGCATTTTACTCCCATAATTGTGAATCTTCAACACAGCAATTGGTAGTGTTCAGTACTAATTATAAATATATGCTGATCTAAGTTTGGGTTGTTCAGTTTTGGTGTTTGGGGGTTTTTAAATTTTTATCATTATTGTTATCATTTTTGATTCATGTGGATTTGTAAGGATAGTATTAGGTTACTGCATTATCCTGACACCGACTTGCTATGAAATTTTGGATTGCTCTGCACTAGGACCAGTTCAAATCACTGAAGGGAATCATGCTGCCCTTAGGCTACTGTGTCACTTGTGAAAATTTTCAAAGTCCTTTTGTTTTATTTCGGAGACTTGATTCTGTTTGTTTAAGTGCTTTAATTTTTTTTCCCTGTGTATGACATGTAAGGTGCCAGAGCAGCTGGGGCACTTTGAAGAATTTTACCTGTTGTTTGTTTCAGCCCTGCAAAGGAAAGTTTTATAAGGAAGTACATTACTGTGAACTCAAAAGACTCAATCCATACTTTGTCACTTTTTTATTGTAATTCTTGCGTTGTCTTTTTATGTAAGAAGGAAAGCAAATTCCTAAGCAAGATTTCAAGAAACAGAAAACAAACTGTGAATACTTTCAAATCAATTTTTACCAGGTTCCTGTGCCCTGTGATGGGAGGGTGTGGCATGAAAAACATTAAAAACATGGGGAGCTGAATCTGAAAGTTTTGTCTGAGCCCCAGGATGAAGGTTGTCATTTGAGCATTGGTTTCTTGCTTGAGTCTGTACAGCTGGTCCTCTGTTTTCATTAAAATCTTAAGGAGAAGCCTCCTATTGATGTGTGTGTTGCTTGAAACGAAAGGAGCACTGGAGGAGCTCAGGCAGGCCTGCAGTGGGCAGCCAGCAGCTGGCAGCAGCAGTGCTGCTGGGCTGGGGTGACGGCCAGCTGCATTGTTACTGTGAGCACCAAATGCTGTGGGGCTGAATGTCCCAGCCACTTGGTCACACTGGGTTTCGAGGCACTCATAAGACAAGTTTGTAGGTAGGAAAATGTGCCGGTGTGCCTTCTTGTTATGGAAAGACACACCTGAAGCTGTTCTGCCAAGTTCACTTTTTGCCTAAAATAAAGACTTCTCTGTGTGTGTGTGAGATGAGGTTTTTATAAGTTAAGGTTAAAATGGTAAAGCTTTAAACTCAGAAGCTGTTGTTTTATGCATTTGATTAATTTACTTCTTCATGTTCTATTTGCCTTTGATAAATTCAGTGGCATGCAGTGGAGTTGTTGTTCTCAGCATTTGATAACATTTTTTCAGTGATGTGAGAAGGAGGTAACAAAGAATGGTGAGTACTCCTAACCTTGTCAGTGTTTCATAATGGCAAACCTGAAATCAGTGGGGTTTTCATTTCATTGGCAATTACATACACTGCAACTTTTAAAAGATTTTACAAACTATATCCATTTAAAAATACTATTTTTTATGAATCCAGCTATTTTCATTTGAAATTTTCTGGTTATTTCACAAATTCAGTCTTTCCAAAACAACACACTGCTAGCAGTGGCAGATGATGGAATGATCCAGTGGGATGGAGTTGGCATCCTGTGCTCAGCTGTTCAAACCCAGAATGAACAGAGCTGACCACTGATTGTAAAGCAGGCCATAGGAAAAATGGGGGTTCCAGTTCATCTGTAATAATATCTAGTATCTAAACAGCCCTTTACAAGTTTCATTTGGTTCAGACATCAATATCATGACCCCCATTTTACAGGTATTCATAAATTTGGGCCCAAATGTAGGTAGTGATTTGTTTTTTATCACTTGTATCAGTGTAATAGACATGGTGGAGTTTAGATCATTTTACTCTGGTCCTCTGCTCTCCTGTGATACTCTAAGAGTATTCTTTGCAATGCTTTTTATTATACCCTCAGAAACTGTAAACCAGTTGGAACTGCACTCTTGGCCTTCACTGTGCTATAAAAGGGGCATGTGTTACATGGATGCCAAGAGAACTCAGCTCCCAGTAGTTCAGAGTTCTGTGCAGATCAGTCCTAGCTCACACCAAACCCCACTGCTGCTGAGCTCCTCAGAAGCTTTATGCCACAGAGGAGCATGCTCTTTGTCATTACCATAAATTTAACTTCTAGAGGTTTTCAGATGGCTGGAGTAGAACCAGAAGAAAGGAATTTAATTCTGTTTGTTCTCTGTCTTTATTTAACAGACTTGATGCTCTTGGAGCTCCTTGGAAGGTGGCAGGTTTTCAAAGTGGTAGCAGTAGGTTTGCAGACTGGTCTGAAACACATTTCACTGCTGGCAGTGAAAGAACAGAAATGAACTGAAGTGCTCATCTCATGTGAGTTTGGATTTGAGAGAATGGAGACATAACCACTCCTGCTGGACACCCTAACACTTAACTACAGAGGGAAAATGAGCGTGGCAGCCACAAAGATTTTGTTGTTTGTGTTTCAGTGGTTTCTAACAGTTTCTATTGCTGAATGCTGCAGGAAGAGCAAATTGTACCTTTGGTGCTCTGACTGCAGCCCCATTGCTGTCATATTGAGGTCACCATGATATTGGTCTGTAGCCTTGAGTGAGAATTTGGGTGAGTTAAAAGCACCCTTCAGCAGATTCGATCATCTGAGGGAGCAGAGCATCTGCACCAGTGTGTTTTAATATCCATCTGTTGCTGCTCTTGGTAGAGACATGGCTGTCCACCACTGCAGCCCTTGCTGGTGCTGGAAACAGCCACAGGCAGGGATGGCATCTTCTGAAATCCATTCCAGCTGCATAATGTCCAGGCTGAGCGTGAGGCACAGCCATTGCCTGGGAAACGAGGTAACACAGTGCCAGCAGCTTTGGGAAGCAGCTGAAAGAGTCACTATGGGGAGATGTACATATTTATATAAGGAAACCATTTGTGATGCTGGTTATTAACCTGGTTTCGTTGTAGATGTGACAGAATCAAGCTAGGTTTTCACTGGCAGATGGTGTACTTTTAGTTAATTTTTTTTTTTTTAATTTGGGTTTTTTTAAGCTTTCTGATTTTAAAACAGAAAGCAACACAAAATGTTCTGCTAGCAAGGACAGGGAATATATATGCTTTTTTAAAAGGCAGTCCAAAATTCAGACACAGACTAGTAAATGAGATGTGCCATCTAGTGGCAATTAGATTAATTCTTAAACCCAGCCTCTCAAGGCTGCCTCAGTATCTGGATAACACAGTTAGTTAGTTACCTTTTTCAATGAAAAGTAAGGTTGCATTCTTTTTTTGCTCTTACTCTGTCAAATTTCTAGCTTTAGTGAATTTGCATTAGACTAAAAATATCAGTCCAGCTACAGCCTAGACTAGAATTTATATGCATTCCCTGCAGAAGTTGGCTCTTTGGTGATTATCATATGTGAGCTGTGACAGCACAAATATTTACTGCAGCTGCATGTCACATTTAATTATAGTGAGAAAATACAGAATCAGGCAGAGGAGGGCAGTTTACTTCTTGGTTACTGAGGGACAAGTGGATTGTGTGAGCTGAGCAGCAGCCGGTTTGCAAAGGCAGATTGTCCACAGTGGAACTGGTGGGCCAGTGAGGAGTTTGTTACCTGCAGGGCTGCGTTTTTTTGTGCCCTACGGTTGTGTTCGAGGGAAGAGATGAGCATCTTGACTCCACGTTTCAGAAGGTTGATTTATTATATTATGATATTATATCATATTAAAATGCTATACTAAGACTATACTAAAGAAATAGCAAGAAAGGATCCTTCAGAAAGCTCGAAAGGAATAGAAAGGAAGGAATGATAACAAAAGCTCGTGACTGGCAGACTCCGAGCCAGCTGACTGTGATTGGCCATTAATTAGAAACAACCAACATGCACCAATCACAGCTGCACCTGTTGCATTCCACAGCAGCAGATAGTTATTGTTTACATTTCTCTCCTGAGGCTCCTCAGCTTCTCAGGAGAAAATCCTACCAAAAGGATTTTCATAAAATATGTCATGGTGACAGTGCCGCACAAAGGAAGGTGGCTCTTGGCTCAGCCCGTTCACGTCGCATTTGTCACGTTATCTCTCACCTCTGGGGCAGTGTGAAAGCAGCAGGGAGCAGCATCCCGTGGGCAGCTTTTCCAAGCCAGCCTCTCCTTGCGGGGCCGCACAGCCGCGCCTGCAGAGGCTTTGCTGGGCGGACGTTCCCGGCGGAGCCGCTCCGCAGGGCTGCTGGCAGGAGGGCCGGGCTGTCCCCCGTGTCCCTGTCCCTGTCCCTCCTGCCCCGGGGCTCTCTGCCCTGCCCGTGCCCGCCGGAGAGCGGCTTCGCGCCTGAGCTTGTTTAAGGACGCTGCAGCTCCTCCTGCAGCGATGGTGTGCTGATGGCTCGGGACGCTCACCCGGGGTGGTGGCTGTGTGAGCTGTGACAGTAACAGCGGGGTGGGATGTACCAGCAGGCGGTCGGTGTTTGATGGTTTCCCAGCGTTATCTCGGCTGGTTCCAGCAGTGTGCGGTGCGGTGCTATGTGCTGCCGCTGCTGACAGGCTGCTGTGCCCTGGCAGAGCTCCTGCCCCTCTCACAGGGCACCATTTACAGCTCCTGCCAAACGTGCTGCAGCACGAGGGGCACAGGCGGCCTGGGGTGACGGCCATCCCCTGCTGCCACTAACACCCGCCTCTCCAGGGAGGAAAGCCTGTGCTCAGAGGGCTGGGTGGGCCAGGACAGCTGCTCTGTTGAGGGACAGCTCTGCTCGGCACACTGGCATAAAGCTATTGAGACCCAGCGTGTGCCCACATTTCTTTCAGATGACATCTCTCTGATGATTGCAGCCCAGTGGAGATGAGCATGCCTTTGCTCACTTTGGTTCGTTTGTGGGAAATTAGGGCTACAAGACTCACTGAAAGGTTACTGGAAGGGGATTGTAATATTCAAAGTCATTAAGCAATTTGATTTTACACAGCTATGCTCTCATGGCATACCTGCTCAGAGGTTTGCTTGTGCACATGGAGGATGAGTCAAATCCTCACTTCATCTCCTGGTTCTTCTTGATTGTCAATGATTAGCTAACTTTTTGGACAAATCTTTTCTTTCCATTAGGATACCTTTTATACCCTACTGCTGCTAGCCTTCCTGTGAGCCCCTG